AACACCAGATAATGCCTTTGTAGTTGCACGGTAATTGGGGTCCTTAAGGTATCATCATTGCAGGTAATCTTGCAGAAATTGGCCTCTTTCTCAGGTATTAAGATTAATGAGCTTTAAGAAAATATACGATCTTCCACCCACATGTTCTGGGGAGTTTTTGGGCGAGACTTAACATCTTTTAATCTTTAGTGAGAGAGAGAAAAAATATCGTTTTTTGTTCTTCAAATGTTCTCAGTGATTTTTTTTCTTTTTTTTGGGGGGGGGATAGGTAATTGAAAAAATCGCTTTGTTCTTCAAATGTTCTACAGTGTTTCTTTTTTTTCTTTTTTTGGGGATAGGGAAAAATCGTTTTGTTCTTCAAATGTTCTACAGTGTTTCTTTTTTTCTTTTTTTTTGGATTAGGAATTGAAAAATCGCTTGTTCTTCAAATGTTCTTCAGTGTTTCTTTTTTTTTTCTTTTTTTGGATAGGAATTGAAAAATCGCTTTGTTCTTCAAATGTTCTACGGTGTTTCTTTTTTTTTTTTTTTTGGGGGGATAGGAATTGAAAATCGTTTTTGTTCTTCAAATGTTCTTCAGTGATTTTTTTTTTTTTTTTGGATAGGAATTGAAAAATCGCTTGTTCTTCAAATGTTCTTTCAGTGTTTTTTTTTTTTCTTTTCTTTTTTCTTGGATAGGGAATTGAAAAATCGCTTTGTTCTTTAAATGTTCTTCAGTGTTTCTTTTTTTTCTTTTTTTTTGGGGATAGGAATTGAAAAATCGCTTTGTTCTTCAAATGTTCTTCAGTGTTTCTTTTTTTTATTTTTTTGGGGGATAGGAATTGAAAAATCGCTTTGTTCTTTAAATGTTCTCTCAGTGTTTCTTTTTTCTTCTTCTTTTTTGGATAGGAATTGAAAAAATCGCTTTTTCTTCTAGTGTTCTTCAGTGTTTCCTTTTTTTTCTTTTTTGGGGATAGGAATTGAAAAATCGCTTTGTTCTTTAAATGTTCTTCAGTGTTTCTTTTTTTCTTCTTCTTTTTTTGGATAGGAATTGAAAAATCGCCTTCTAGTGTTCTTCAGTGTTTCCTTTTTTTTTCTTTTTTTTGGGATAGGAATTGAAAAATCGCTTTGTTTCTTCAAATGTTCTTCAGTGTATCTTTTTTTCTTTTTTTTGGATAGGAATTGAAAAATCGCTTTGTTCTCAAATGTCTTACAGTGTTTTCTTTTTTTCTTTTTTTGGGGGGATAGGAATTGAAAAATCGCTTTGTTCTTCTAGTGTTCTTCAGTGTTCCTTTTTTTCTTTTTTGGGGATAGGAATTGAAAAATCGCTTTGTTCTTCAATGTTCTTCAGTGTATCTTTTTTTTTCTTTTTTTTGGATAGGAAATTTGAAAAATCGCTTTGTTCTTCAAATGTTCTTACAGTGTTTCTTTTTTTCTTCTTCTTTTTTTGATAGGAAATTGAAAAATCGCTTTGTTCTTCAAATGTTCTTTCAGTGTTTCTTTTTTTCTTTTCTTTTTTTGGGGGATAGGAAAAATCGCTTTGTTCTTCAAATGTTCTTCAGTGTTTTTTTTTTTTTTTTGGCTGGGAATTGATGTTCTTTTTCATTGATTGATAGGACTTCAGAAGGTCGAGAAATAGTTTTGTGTTCTATGAGTCTCGGGGTTGAACAGAGAAAAAAAATCTGTCTTGGAAGAAGGTACGAACGAAAAGGAACATCTTAACAGTACAAGAAAAAAGATTTTTAACCGTTTTCGAAAACATCTTCGTTGTGTATAAGTGACGGAGGTTCTTTCGAAAAACTGTCGCAAATACATCTGTTGTATTTTGATTTATACTTTTTTTTTTTTTTTTTTTTTTTTTTGCATTTGTCTACACGAATTACGGTTCATGAGTTCTGTTGCTGTTTCGTCTCATCTGCGGCATACTCTGGGTTGGGGTATATTGTGAACGTGTGCTTGTCTGTCTGTCTCTTCTCTCTGTCTGCTGATCTACTTCTCTCTCTCTCTTCTCGCATCCTCTGCTCTCTCTCTCTCCTCTCTCTCTCTCTCTCCTCTCTTCCTCTCTCTCTCTCTCTCTCTCTCTTTTTCTTATCTGTCTGTTTTCTTATCACTATTTTAGCTAATTAGATGTCTTCTGTCTTCTATCTGTGTCTGCCTATCACGGGCTACCTGTCTGTCTTCATCGTCTCTGTCTTCTCTTCTCTCTTCTCCTCTCTCGTCCTCTCTCTTCCTCTCTTCTCTCTCCTCCTCTCTCTCTTCTCTCTCCTCTTTCTCTCTCTCTCCTCTCTTCTCTCCCCCTCCTCTTCCCTCCTCCTTTCCTCCTTCCTCTCCTCTCCTCTCTCCTCCTCTCCTCCTTCTCCCTCCCTCTCCCTCTATTCCCACCCCCTCCGTTCCCTCCCTTCCCTCTTCCCCTCCCTCGCCCTCCTTTCCTCCCCTCCGCTCCTCTCCCTCCTTCTCCCTCCCCTTCTCCCCCTCCCTCTCCTCCCTCCTTCGTCCCTCCCTCCCTCCCTCCCCCCTCCCTCCC